CTGTAGTAGCTAATCACGTACGCAAAGTCTACTCCAGGGTAATACAGAACAGCAAATTCACAAACCATACCTTTGTTACCCAACGCCTATGTCTATGCTTTCACAAAATCTCTAGTTTATGCTGCTAGCAAATCTACATTAACAGTCTTCAAGCTCTCCACCGCCCAACTAGGGTACTCGCTCTTATCCTGATATAGCCCAGCAAAGAACTCCTTGATATACGCCGGGAACCGATCGTCAAGAATGGCATCGCGCATCTCACGCATGAGGTTCAGCTGATACCAAACGTTGTGGATCGTGAGAAGATGCGCCGCCACCGTCTCCTTGGACGTGTTGTGGTAAATATATGCCCTGGTGATGCCCAGGCCGCCCTCGCGGCAGCACTCGCACCCGCAGCCCTCCTCAATCGGGCCAAAGTCCTGGCCGAATTTGGCATTGCGGATGTTGAGCACGCCCTGCTTCGTGATGGCGTTGCCGAACCGCGCCGTCCGCGTCGGCCACACGCAGTCAAACATGTCGGCGCCCAGGGCGACGCAGACCACCAAATCCTCCGGATAGCCAATGCCCATGACATAGCGCGGCTTTAGCTCGGGCAGCAGGGCTGTGCAAGTTCCCACCACGCGGCAAAAGTCGTCCTTGGCCTCGCCGCCGCTGAGACCACCGATGGCGATACCGGGGGTGTCTCGGGCGACCATTTCCTTGCAGCACTCTTTGCGCATCTCGAGATCCAGACCGCCCTGGATGATGCAAAAGAGGTTTTGTGTCTCGGGCTTCTTGTGTGCTGCAATGCATCGGTCGAGCCAGCGTACGCTCCTCAACATGGCTTCCCGCATGCGTTCCTTGTCCGGCGACGTTGTGACAATGACATCGTCTAGTTGCATCATTATGTCGCTGCCAATCGAGTTTTGTAATGACATGGAGTGCTCGGGTGTGAGTAGCATTGGCGATCCATCATGTGGACTCAGAAAGCGAACACCCTCCTCTGTGATGGTAGCCAGCTTCAGCAAACTCACCATTTGGAAACTGCTGGGTGTTAGTAGTCTGAGCATTCAATGGCCGCAAAGCCAGACTCACCCGCCACTATCTGTGAGAATATTATGATTCCAGCCCTGAAGCTTATGTGCGCCACCAACAGCGTCTAGCACTTCTTGACCTGGCTTCAGGCCGAGATGATACGTGTTATTGAGGCAGAGCCGACAGCTCGTCTCCTCCAGCTGCTCTGGGGTGAGGCCCTTTAATGATGCCTGAGTGGCAACGGGCATAAATAAAGGAAGCTTAACAGGCCCATGAGGCAAAGTCAGGACTGATGCTCTGGCTCTCGTTGTCTATCACAGCCTGTTAGTTGGTACTCGTTTAACGACACGTGCTTGCACGATACTCACAGAACAACGCCCGAGCAACTCAAATTTGAGTGCTGGCGAAGTGTAGACGTTGGATGCCATTCTTCGGGCTGCCAACATCCCCTCTTCCAACTGTGCCTTCGCAACTGGTGAGAGAGTCTCGTGCAGTTAGAAAGCTTTTTATTCGATGCAAAGACCCTCCTTGTAGCATGCCAATGAAGGCTCACAGAACACTTCAGGCAAGGAAAAAAAAGTTTAGTGGAGTTTGTCAGATCTTTAGCGGTATGGATCCCACTGTAAACGGTAAACTGCCCGGAGGCACCCCTGGACTCCGGCCAAACCACGGCAATTTGCCCCCAGCTTCTAGCTCTAACAATTTTCCTCGACGACAGACCATCATCCAGCCTCTGCCCGCATCAATCACGATCAATTGCCTCGCATCGATCCTCTTCCATCGCCCGCACGCGAGGTCGCGGATATCTCCAAATTGCCATCATGGGCGGCCGCGCTGTATCGCCCGGCGGGGCGCTGCTGAGATCGTCGCGCATGTTCTCAATGCCCAAGCCCCTGCCCGAGCCGCATGCCGGCCTCCAACAAATGTCCGACCGGAGCTCCAAGTCCATGACCAAGCCGCAGCCGCAGATGCAGTCCGTCACCACGCCGCTGTCCTCGCGCCAACACGGCGATTGGGGCTTCAAGCGCTCCTTTCCGCTCAAGACGACGCTGCACACGTCGACGCCGCTGATTCGCCTCAAAAACATTGACGCCATGGAGAATGTGACGGATTTTGAGTCGGCCGCCGACCACACGCTCACGCTCGAAAAGTTCCAGGAGCTGCGCATTGCCATGTCGACGCCCAAGAAGCGCGTCGATCCCGCCAGCACCCTTCGCGAGACGCCAGGCAACAAGTCTGTTTTTGAGGACCGCTTCGACACCACCGACGGCGACCGCGCCGGCAACCTCCGCTGGAAGTACGAGGGCCCCTGGCTGGCCAGAATGACAGAGGGCGAGTTCATGCGCTACCTCGACAGACAGGTCCGTCCGCAGCGAACCCAGTTTCGCGCGCTGCTGAGGAAGGGCCTCGCCGACGACATTACCGCGCGTCAGAACAGCTACGCTATGGAAAAGGGCATCGATGCGCCTCCACCCGTTACACCAGCCGACATTACCGAAGCGCAGTTTACTGAGTATCTACGCGCGCTGCGCAATGACCGAGCCGTCTTGTATGCCATCGTCTCCAAGTTCCTCGACCTCGCGCCCCTAGGCCAGCCCGTCGGCGTTGTGCAGAGCCTCTTCCCGCCTCAGGCCGAGAGCCCCTGGGGCAAGGCCGGCCCGCCCCCGACACACCCGTCCGCAGGTATCAGCTACCTGCGCACGAGCTCCTACATGGAGAACCACCCAGTATACGGTCCTCAGAGCCGCCGCGCGCCGACGCTGGCTCGTCTCATCAGCCCCCGCACCGCCTTTCAGCCGCCCAGGCTCGGCGTCGCTGGTTTCGTGGCGGATCCTCCCGTCGGTGACAATGAATTCAACACTCGCCACTCTAGGAGCAGGTACGGCCAAAAGGTCGAGGGCAACGGCATCGCGGACCTCGACACAACCACGATTGGCGGCGCCAAGACCTTTGTCGAGCCGGTGACGGCAAGCGTGGACCCCAGCGGCCGCATACTCCTCGAGCTCAGGGAGGCAGACCCCGTGGCGCAGGTCATTGGCCAAGAGAACAGCGGCAAGACTACAGTCTACCACGACGGGGCCATGAAGCGCGAGCTGCGCCCGCAAGAGGATCCTCACGCTCAAAGAATGCGGGCCGTGACGGATGAAATCATGCAGAACAAGCTGTGAAAATAGTGCAAGATTATTGTATATCTACGGGAAGCCGGCGCAGTGTCATAAAACATGTACAAGTAGCATAGAAATTTGAACGAAGAGTTCTGAATCAAACAATATCACTTTGAAAGCATGAATCTGGAAAGTGGTATCAGAACAGTACAATTGCTGAGCATACTAATAGTCCAATGCATTTCACAATCTACAGGAGACGAATCCTGGAAAGTTGCCAGGCAGGCATCTTTTGCTGCCCTCAAGGCGTTTCGGTACATTTGGTGCTGGCTGATGAATTGGCCAATCAGACTCTCTCTGAAGGCGCCCCACCTCTCACAGTCCGTAAGATCCTGGCAGTCGGCCAATTCACGTGATCCGCCAGTTGAAATCTGACCACAAGCCCTAATTGCTGGTTGTGCCCCACTTGAGGCAGGGCCACCACCAACTTTCCAGATGGTCGAAATTTCATGAGAGCTGCTTTGAGACGAGACCTGCCAACCCACGACAACTTCACCAACACGCCTCCCCTCCAACCCGCTACCACCACCACAACACCGCCAACATGGGTCGCGTCCGCACCAAGACCGTCAAGAAGTCCGCCAAGGTCATCATTGAGCGCTACTACCCCCGCCTGACGCTCGACTTTGAGACCAACAAGCGCATCTGCGATGAGATTGCCATCATCGCCTCCAAGCGCCTCCGCAACAAGATTGCCGGCTACACCACTCATCTGATGAAGCGCATTCAGCGCGGACCCGTCCGCGGCATCTCCTTCAAGCTCCAGGAGGAGGAGCGCGAGCGCAAGGATCAGTACGTCCCCGAGATCTCGGCCCTCGACCCCTCGCACAACGAGGGCGGCCTTCTCCAGGTCGACGGCGAGACCAAGGACCTGCTCAAGCACCTCGGCGTAAGTTTTTTCTTTTGCCCAGATTCATATTCGAGTTGGACAAAAAGGATCATCCTAACAAGTTTTGGTCATTTAGTTCGACTCCATCCCCGTCAACGTTGTCCAGGTCGCTCAGTCCCAGGGCCCCGAGCGCCGTTTCGGCGGCAACCGCCGCCGCGACTAAGCGAATCGTTTCATTTGTCGCCGGAAAAACGAACAATTCAAAAGCAGGGTCACGAACGAGGGAACATTTTGATACACACACTACTACAACTACTACTACTACATTTTTTGGGTTTTTTGCATGGCCATTTTAGTGCCGCGGATGTTATGACGACTTGGCGTCTCAAGGATCGGTTAGCGAAAGTGCTTAGATCTCAAAGAAAAGATCTTTTCGCCCCCACTAGGTGTCGCTGGACAATGAGGGCCGGGCTTTCTTTCTCGCAAGAGATGTGCTTGGTCCCTCATTGGAAAGCTTGATTGCCAATTCTCCTTTGCGGATTCTCATTGTGCCCGCCGTGCGTGCCTGTGAAAATAACCAAGTCGAAAGACTTCCTGCTTGACGTTTTCCCCTCTTTTGTTTTCCGGAGAAGAAACGAAACCAAATTGCAACAAACAGGGACATCTCTCAGCGTCGGAATGGCTCGATCGCCTATCACATGAACAGTGTCGACAAGTGGCCTACGGAAAATGTCTCTTGCAATGGGTATCATTCATCTCAAATCGTAAAAGTAATTCGTAACCAAATCATACAACAAATCAGTCAAGATGCACCTGCGAGACTGATCTGGTCTGAACCAAATCCCCACGCCCGTGCATCATCGGTAGGCAGACTCCCCCAAGTCGACTCTGTGGCCTTCAACAAGCAAATGGTCGTCGTCGCCGTCGCCAATGTGCAAATTCTCAACATCCGGCATCTGCGTCTCCCTCTCCTTCAGCGACACCTGCACCCTCTGCTTCCCACCAGCCCCCTCCGGCCGGTCCCCCCTCTCGAGCGCCAGCGCCGCTGCCGCGTCCCTGCTCCTGCGCTCCTGCTCCTCAATCTGCAGATTGGCCAGCATGCCGGCCGCGGCGTCCACGTCGTCGGCCTTGTCGAAGCGGCCCTCGTCGAGCAGGTCGATGCGAATCTCGGCGATGCCCGCGCGCTCCCACGCGGCCGTCTCGCTGAGCTGCACCTTGACGTAGAGGGCGCGGCGCGCGCACGCCTGCGAGCACCAGCGCTCCACGTCCCTGCGCTTGACAATGTGCCCGCCGCGCGTAATCGTCCACTCGCCGCCGGGCCCCGTGTCGCGGTGCGGCCGCGCGCACAGCGTGTACCCGCACAGGCCGTTGACGTGCCGCTCCTCGATGAGGTCGTCGTAGTCGGACGGCTGGAACAGCCGCACGAGCGTCTGGAAGCCGGCCGCGTCGGACGAGGCCGGCCGCGACGCGTTGTACGAGGGCCCCCGCACCAGAGGGTACTCGGATAGCAGGATGAGGCTGTCGAGGATCTCGGCCTCGAGGTCCTTGCGGTGCTGCACCACACGCGCGTGCTGCATCGCAATCTCGCGCGGGTCGGCGGCGCGCTGCGCGGCTGCAGAGTCCTTGAGGATGCCCCGTAGCTCCTTGATCTTGCTCTCCATCGTGTTGAGTTTTTTATGTGGCGGGCGGAATGGGGTAAAGGTTGGTTTGTTTTTTTGCGAATGCGCGGGGCGGGTGGTGGCGACGAGAAGCTTCAAAAGTTCCTCTGCTGACCAATTTAAGTGGAGGTTCGGCTCGTTCCACAAGCTGCACGTTGACTCAAATCTTGAGACGTATGGTAGATGCCTCTTTGTGTTGCACACGTTGGCTCAGCATGTGCAAAATCAAGGTTGTTGCATTCGCGCTCCAGACAGTGCAGTATTTGGAGTAGCTAGCTAGATGCCCGTGATCCACTCCTCCACCTCCAAGGCTCCAACGTTGTGTGCGACGAGCGCCGTTGCGGCTTGTTGTCGCCATGTGTTATTTCCACGACTTTTTAGCGCATTCAAACTGGTTTTCACTTATCTCTTCAAGGCCTTGATTGAATATTGTGGCGCCGCTGCCTTTCCGGCGCGGACCAGGCTGAGCATTTGGATGGCCCTGAGCCCATGTAAGTCGCGACAATGAGAACAGGGACAACGGCGGAACGGAAGCCAGGGGAGTTTTGTAGGTCTAAAGGCCAAAAGCAAAAAAAAAAAAAAANAAAAAAAAAAAAAGGAAAATCTCAACAGCCCAATGAGTTTCAAAGAGAGCTCCCCTTTCTCATTGCTTGCTCTCTTTGGATGTTGTAGTTTATTGTGGCTGTTCTCGCCTCGTATGCTCCATGGGCGAGCGGGGTGTAGAGGCCGAGCCAGGCTGATGGGCGATGATAAAACATAGGCTTCAACACCTGCTGTGACACCGGGCCTGAGACGGTGCTAATGATTGTAATAGCTGGATCAAAATGAAAATGTGTTTGTTTCAGCGCAAGGCAATGTTAAACCGAAACCATTCCTTTGACATTGAAGAAAACAAAACGTCTGGTGTGTGTGTTGCAAGTTTGGTTGTTCCACTGTGACTGGATGAGGCCAACTTCGTTATTAGCCGTACCCAGTGTCACGATGCGGACCTCAACGGGGCCATCTTCATACAAGACATCATCGCAAGAAATATCGAATTGTTTCTCAACCCCAAGTTTTTAATCCCCTCCGTATCTTTGATGCCGCTAGGTCTGATGTTGGCTCTGATTGGGCTGATGATGGTTTTCGCGGGTCTGTAATTACTCATTCGAACCGCCAACTGCTTTGGACAGTAGGAAAGCTGAGATGGCCCTTCACACCTTCGCAGCCTTTGTGAATCATTTTATGAACTTCGCGGAGAGTCTATGGAGCTAGTTGTCGGCTACTGGCAAATCAGGGCACAGATATCGAGGCACAAGGTAGCGGCGTGGTATTATATTTAGCCAGATGGGATGCAAACCAAGCCGCTGTCAAAGATTGCAATCGCATCATCATTTTCCTGTGCGCCAGAATTTGGCTATAATGCGACTAGCCTCAAATAATCAGGATACTGCCGATAAAAGCTTATATTGCACAAGAAAATCGAAAGAAGCGCGCCAGGCTGAATGTTCTGTCGCCGGTCTAGAGGTGCCGCCACAGTGTCACTTGACGGGGCAAGGTTCCAGCCCAGACAGGTAGCATGCTAATACAATTGGAAAGTTGTAATCGATGAGCCTCAGCCTTTGCCAGTCTGATAAATACATTTCGAGGAATGGGGCTTGCTTACTGCCTGTAATTCGCATTTCCACTTGAACGTACGAGCTGAAGGGGGCATTGCACGACGCAGCAGCTTGATAGAGAGCACCTGGTACAGATATACATCGAGATTCGAAGTGAGATAGCCGTGATTCGACTGAGATTATGGCTGATATCCATAATCCTATTTTCCACCTGCATAATTTTATTGCACGTGACGGCCATGTGAACTGTAAACGGCAACGGCTTGATGATTCTCTCAGCCGTCCGAGCCAAGACGAATTTGTCCAACCAGCGAACATGGCTAAATTAACTGCTTCCAAGTGAGACGATGATGAGTGATCTTGCACCAGCTGAAGCCAGACCTGCAGGACCGTCTGCATGATGCATGGTGCCACTTGTGGCCAGCCGTTTTCAGCTGTATGCAATATGGATGACTCTGACGAGAAATAGAACCGCTTTCAAAGTTAGACAAGCTTTCAATAATTGAGAATTGCCGAACGGCAGACTCTCGGTGACGAAGTAAAGGAGGGGAAACTGAACCGATGACAGGCCACTGAGAACTTAAATACTTGGGAGTCCCCCTGTAATGATTGCAAGTGCTACTTCTTACTTCGTCTTCTTTATTCATTCAGGACTCAAATAAACAAGAAACAAGCAAGCCAAGATGCGCTTCTTCACTGTTCTCGCCACGCTTTGCGCAGCTGTCTCTGCAGTCCCAACCGAAGCTGTATGAATGATACACCCCTTGCATCTTTCTCCATCAAAAGGGAAAAAGGAAAAAGACATCAAAAGTCATAGCTCATACTGACCATTTTACAAGGAGGTACAAGCCAAGTTGGTCACTGAACTGTGGCGCGCGTACAGCGGCAGAGCGCAAGACCACTTCTACACCACCAACTACCATGAATACAACAACGCTGTGACTAACCTTGGCTACGCTGCCGAGGGCGTCGCGGCGCGCATCTACTCTAGGCAGGTGGCGGGAACCGTCCCCCTGTACCGGACCTGGTCCCCTGGCGCCACAGATCACTTCTACACCACCTCGGCCGCTGAGCGCGACAACGCCGTCCGGAACCTAGGCTACCAAGACGAGGGCATCACCGGCTATGTCTTTCCGTCGGACAGCAAACCGAAGACTGTTCCGTTCCACCGTGCCTACAGCCCTACACAGAGGGACCACTTCTATACTATAAGCGCGACTGAGATGGAGAATGCGGTCCGGAAACTGGGATACACCTACGAGGGCGTCGCTGCTTATGTATTCGAGCCCTGAGACAGGCTCGAGGAATTCGAGACACGTTTGTGTTGTCCTTGAATTGAGACGAAATCCAACGTGGTGACCCGTGTGCCACGGACTTGCCGCCGCTCATGATGATTACGTATTGTTAAGTACTTGTTGCTAGTTTTATCTGACGATAGTTGCATATATGAGACATATAAGATATATAAAAAGTCCTACATTATACTGCAAAGTCGATAGTGGAGTTGATCTGAAAGGATTTGGGTAGAGCGCTAATTCATGCAAGCCTCACGCCAGCGGGGTAAGTTCCGATATTCGCGATGCAGATTTGCCACATATCTCACCCGTCGGCCAGGGTCTGGATTGGTCCACTTTATGTATTATGTATAGAATATTGGTACTCTTTTGGGGGAATATATTGCAATTTGAGCAAGTTAACAGTACAGCGGCAGGAAAACGGCAGTTCTGTGACAGCGATTCCCAACGCCCGCGCTGTCGAGTCCGAAGGGAATAATACCCTGCATGCCAATCAAAAGGATGGTACGAAAGTACTTTAGGCCCGGGACGCTGAGCAGAACCATTCTTACTATCGCATACTTTTGACCGGAGGAACTACTCCGGGAGACTCTTTGGTGACTTTAATGCCAATTTTGACTCGGAAAAATGACATTCACAAACAGACAAGTCCGTTGCTAAAAGAAATGTTTAGGCCCTTCTCCTTTTTAACTTGGCGCATGAAATCCAAATATTCGTCATAGATTCCCTCGGGTTTGAGGTCATTAGGACAAGTAAAGGGCATATACGTAAAAGCTTGCGCCAGCAAACGACCTTGGCAAGCTCGTTTCTTGCATCCTGGGCCCAGGCTCACCACATGGCGTGCTCGACTTCATCCAAACCGGTAATATCGACTATACCGAAAAATGTCAATGTAGACGTGCGGGGGTGCTGTAGGGTGCGACTGCAAAAAGGCGCAGTGACGGCACAGGGACGAGTTAATCGGCCCGCACGATATGCAGTGAGAAGCCACAGCGTTGCCCGACGCAGAGATCTTCGCTGCCCGAGCCGCCAATACGGCTATAACTTGCGAAGAGAGGTGAGTGGACGGTGACACTGTGGCGGATGCGGCCGACGTGCTCGTCTTATTATCCTGATTAGGTTGGTTTGCGCAGAGAATCTTTAGCACGGCGGTCTTCCGAAGGGAAGGCGAGAAGCAAAATGCGCCGATCTTGGCGCGGCCCTTGAGCGCGATTCGTCCAAAGGTCGGACCGTTGCAGATGTGAGACGGCGCAAACAAAAAACACTGGCGTTTGGAAGAGGCATAATGATAGGAAGCATGCAGGGATTGCTGGGCAAGCCATTTTTGGCCAGCTTGCTGTATGTGGTCAGCATAGTTGTGACAGTCTTTTCCAGGTCTGAAGACTCAAGAAGAGAAGACGCTGGTGAATCGCATTAAAATTGTGTGCTCAATGAATCGACTTTTTGGGGACTCAAAGCTGTCACTCAGACCATCAAGGGAAACAAAGCAGCGCCGCCGCAAATGGCTTTCAGCAGGCAATCATTTGCTTAAACAAGTCCCCTTTCACGATTGACAAACTTTGCTCCAACAATCTCGCACTTGGTTGCAATTGCCTTCACTCTGTTTTATGCATCATCTTCCTCGTCCCGATTCCTTCACGTCGTTTGACTTCCTGTGTCAGATGGAAGAGAGAAAGAGGCCACCTAATGTCCAGGTATGTAAGCGTTGGGTGTTCTTAGCTGGAAACTCGAATATTGTCTGATTTTAGAAAATGCTATGCATCTAGCTAAGTGTCTTGACTAGATACGTATCCTATTCATATATTCGCGTCGGAGTTTTAGATCGATTCGGACTTGAGACATCCTACCACTTGTAAAAGCGAAATTTGAACAAGTGAAATTGTCCACCATCATCTACACAGGATGGAAATGCATAGCAGGACTCGAGTCTGGCGGCAATCGAGGAGAATGACACGCAACGCACCATCTCTATCTACTAGAGCGCACCGCAATTTTGCCTGCGATGTAGCCCGAGTTAGTTCCTGCCGTCCTCCATCATATCCCCGGAAGGAAATGCTTCGCTGGACCAAATGTGTTTCGAGAAAATATACATACCTGCTAATGAAACTTAGGCTGAGCCTGCTCGCTGGGGATATCAGAATCGCCAGAGTCGAGCACAAGCGGAGCGCACCAAGATTTCGCCTGCGATGTAGTCTGAGTTAGTTCCTGCCGTCCTCCATCATCTCCTGGAAAGGAAATGCTTCGCTGGACCAAATGTGTTTCGAGATGATACACGTACCTGCTGGTGGAACTATAGCTAGGCCTGCTCGCTGAGGATATCCGAATCGCCCAGGTCGAGCACGACAGTGACGCCGCAGCGAAAAAGCCTGCCACAGGCGATTCCCATGTCAATTGCTCCTCCCCTCTCTCATCTCTCACAATGAAGACTGCTGGCACCTTTATTGCTCTGGCTGCCGCCGCTGGCACGGCCGTCGCTGCTCCTGCGGAGGGCACTGGACTCAAGTTCAGCGTTCCCGTGGAAAAGAACCCAACTCAGCGCAATCCCCTCGCTGATGCTCACTACGTTCTCCGCAAGTATGCTACCCCGGAGACCATTAAGGGAATCGAGGTCGATCTTCTCGCTCGTCGCGAGGATGCCTCTTTGTTCCAGCGTGCCGAGAACACCACCATTGGTGCCTTTCCTCACGGCCAACCGGGCGTTGATACCTCGTACCTTTGTCAGGTCAGCATCGGCACTCCCGCCCAGAAGCTGAAGCTCGACTTTGATACTGGCTCCAGCGACCTTTGGGTGTTTAGCACCGACACCAACAAGGCCGAGACCAAGGGTCAGACCCTCTACAAGCCCGCCGAGTCAACCTCGTCCAAAATCCTTCAGGGCTTCAAGTGGGCGATTGGATACGGCGACAAGAGCCACAGCCAGGGCATTGTCTACCAGGACGTCGTCAAGATTGGCACTGCCAGCGTTACCAAGCAGGCTGTCGAGTCCGCCCAGGAGGTCTCTGCCCAGTTCACAAATGATACTGGCAGCTCTGGTCTGCTCGGCCTTTCCTACGACAAGGGCAACACTGTTAGTCCCACACAGCAGAAGACTTGGTTCTCCAACATTCAGAGCAGACTGGCTCAGCCCCTCTTCACAGCTCGCCTCAAGCACCAAGCGGTCGGCTCCTACAATTTTGGATACATTGACGACTCCCAATACACTGGCGAGATTTTGTACACACCCGCCTCCACTGACGCTCTGGGCCACCGTCTATTCAAAGCGAGCGGCTACGCCGTCGCTGATGCTGAGCTCAACGACCAAGCCATCACTGGTACCGCCGACACTGTTACCTCCCTCGTATACCTCCCCACTGACGTTGCATCCGACTACTGGAGCAATGTAGACGGTGCCGAGCGTGTCAAGGTTGCCAACGGTCAGTACCTCTGGGCCTTTTACTGCGATACTAGCCTTCCCACCTTCTCCTTCGGTGTCGGTACAGGCCGCATCACCATCCACAGCGACAACATCAACTTTGCTCCACTGAGCAACGGAGCTTGCTTTGGTGGTATCGGTGGTATCGATGGTGGTCTTGCCATCTTTGGCGATGTTGCCTTGAAGTCTGGCTTCGTCGTCTACGATGATGGCAACGACCGTCTTGGCTGAGCCGAGAGGGTGCGTAAATAATAAATAAAAGTATGTTTCTGGTATATAATTAAAAAATAGTACATGATATCGAATTTTGAAGTTGGCAATGTCCTCGTGATGTTATGTAGAGTTATCGTCAGTATGTAAGCGCCAAGGCGTCAAGAAAGCTATCTCTCAGAGCAGCGATGCCATTCCTGTAACGCGAACTATTAAGAAGACACTCTCAGATTCACATTCCGCGCTCGAAGACTTTTTTTCTTCTTCTTCTTTTTTTTTTTTTTATATATGTACGTTTTTGGCAGAGTTGGAAGCAGTCGCTCATCGGCAAAAGAATTACCAGGCCAATGTATGAGCCCAGCGCTCAAGATGCCCCGACAGGAGCGACGGGCACATAGTAAACCTCAAGCCCACAGGCTTCAGAGCCCAAGCCCAAGTGGGACGTCTTTTTAAAAGGCGGTGAGAATACTCAACAGATTCTCTGCAGGTCCTTTACAGATGCTATGGAGCTAGTTAACTAAGATATTAACTAACTAGCTATTGATTAATTAGCTGCTAGTTAACTGGCTACTAGTCAAATGGCTACTAGTTAAATGGTTTGACTGGCTGCTAGTTGACTGGCTGTTGATTGACTGGCTGGTTGACTGGCTGCTGGTTGACTGGCTGTTAATTGACTGGCTGTTGATTGACTGGCTGCTAGTTGGCTGACTGTTGATTGACTGGCTGTTGACTGGCTGGTTAACTGACTGTTGATTAACTGGCTGGTTGGCTGGCTGCTGATTGACTGGCTGCTGGTTGACTGACTGTTGATTGACTGACTGTTGATTGACTGACTGTTGATTGACTGACTGTTGATTAACTGGCTGGTTGGCTGGCTGTTGATTGACTACTGAAGCGTATCTGCAGAGCACCTGCAACACAGCTTCATTTTTCTGCCGCTCTTGGCCCCACTTGGGCCTGGGCTCTGAAGCCTCTGGACTTGAGGTTTACTGCTACCCCGGAGGCGACGCATTGTTTTTATGGAAGGCTATCAATTGAAATCCAGTCGGCCGTAGTTCAAACAACATACAATTCTATCAGATCCTTGGCATTGTCTGAACCACAACCTGGCGCATGGAGCTTTTAGTGAATAGTTCCTAGCAGACTACAGTGTCAAGACGCACAGCACGACTGCAATTACGCCTTGCGATGGTGATTTCATTTCAAAGTTTGCGATGTAACAATGTCTTTTGATGTTTTCTCCCGCCAATGCAGCTGATAATTGATGAGCAGTCTCATGAGAGCTGCAGCATCAATTTATCAAAGCACCAACCAATTTCGAATAGTACACCGTCGATGTTGGCTATACTCGGCCGTGCTATTGAGGGTGACCTGGCGCAAACTTGAAACAAGAGCACACAGAGGCTGTGAGTTTCAATGCGTCGCTATAATAGAGTTAATTGGATTAGAAAAGATGTTGCAATTCGCAACCCCCGTCACTGATGAGTCTAGAGCCCCTGATCTCTGTACACCTGCCGACAATTGATCGAGTCATTGAGTCTAGGTTACAAGTCGCCGTATTGCAGGGTATCGTAGGTAGGGAATGGCACCGCCACAGAATCGTCACAACTGTGGCGCTGGACTTGAGGTGAAAGACTGAGTTGGTGGCTAGTGGCCTCCGTCACCTTGTGCCAAGCTTTTGACTTGAGCGACCCTAATTGAATCCTAACCCTGTGCTACCTCGAGGGAGAAGGGAACAAAGAAAACTTGATAAGAGGCCTTGAGAGGCTGGAGCCTCTTATGATACCCGACTGTGCCCGCCCGGCGGCTGATGCAGCCTGCACAACGTGGGGCTCCCGCTCGCCCCGCCACACCCACGAAGGAGCTTCGGTGGCTGAGGCATCACCGCCTTCCCTCGCTGACGTCGCCGCCTCCACATCCATCCCACAGCAAAGCTCCCGGAACTGGCTGAGCCTCCTCATCTTGGCCATCGCCGCACCTGCACTGAGCCGCTCGTTGCTAATCCGCAATCTTCTCACGCTGCAGAATTCTTTCTACGCCTACCATTCACCCATCATCCATCTCGTCCTATCCTCTCGACCGCCGACCGCCGACCGCCGCCTGTTTGCCCGCTCTTCAGGCAGCCTTGCCCCACCTCTGCGAACTCGACCCCTAGGACACGCAACAAACATCTCAACGGACCTGCCCCTCGTGCAGCTGGAGGACAGGCCTTTGTGTCCTGTGAGATATTCACATCCACCATGGCCGCTCCATTTCGCGTCAAAGCTCTGTTCGAGTACACTTCGCCTCATGATGATGACCTCAACTTCTCCATCGGCCAGGTCATAACCGTTACCGACGAGGAAGACGTTGAGTGGTACGGTGGCGAATACGTCGATGACAACGGAGTCAAGCAGGAAGGCATTTTCCCTCGCAACTTTGTCGAAAAGTTTGAGCCTACGCCACCACCCCGTCCTACGCGGACACGAACAAAAAAGGCCGACGATGCCCCAACTCAGCAGCAACAGCCCGAGCCAGCGCAGCCAACGCCGACGCCGGCAGCCGTCGCCTCCCCATCCAGCGCAGTAGCGACTACTCCTATTTCTAAGGACGAGCCCGAGCCCGAACCCGAGCCCGCAGTAGAACAGCCAAAGTTATCCGAGCCAAGGTCGCCATCGGTGCCGGCTCCTGTTCCTGCGCCCGCGGCCGCTGCTGTACTACCAAAGGCTTCTCCGGCGAATACCGAGCAGTCTACCAAGCCTGCTCCACGCGAGGTGCAGGCAGCAGTTCCAGCCCCAGCACCCAAGTCAAAGCCATCCGGGCCTCCGCCCGTCTCCGAAAAGCCGATCAGCAGCTCATTCAAAGACCGTATTGCTGCTTTCAACAAACCCGCGGCAGCGCCCGTTGCACCGTTCAAGCCTACTGGCCTCGGTGGCTCAAGCTTTATAAAGAAGCCATTTGTGCCACCACCTCCCAGCCGCGACGCCTATGTTCCCATCCCGCGCGAGCAGGCGACTCAGAAGATTTACCGCAGGTCCGAAGACCCTGAAATCAGAGAGCAGGAAGCCCAGAATCAGGAACACGCTGAAAAAGCAGGCCTGTTACCTAACGAAGTCAAACAAGATATTGGAGATGAAGAAGAAGACCAGCCCAAGCCAACCAGCTTGAAGGAGCGCATCGCTTTGCTCGCCAAGCAGCAACAGGAGCAGGCCCAGCGACACGCAGATGCCGCCGCCAAAAAGGAGAAGCCCAAGAAACCGGCCAAGAAGAAACCAGATGTACCAGCTGGCGAGCCCGCGGAGGATGTTGCCGAGGCCGATCTCGCACCACTCGAAAGACGCGATACTGAAACGACAATTGGCCGCACTTCCCTTGAAGAGCAGGCACCAGCCCAACTTCCCCAACCACCAAGACGCAAGGTTTCTCGAGGCCCCGCTGCCGAATTTCCGCGCGATGGAAACGAGGCGGATATGTCTGGAGCTGGTGACACTACCGAGGGCCAAGATGATACATCGGAGCGCGATGATGATGATGATGAATCTAAACGCCGGGCCACGGATGCTGCCCCCACTTCTCCAACCATGAGCCGCGCTCCCACGGCTAGAGATGATCGACACGCCGTCGGGGAACCACAGGGCGAGGAGAAACAAGAGGAGGGGCCAGAGGAAGAGCAAGAGGAGGAGGATGATGTGGATCCCGAAGTGCGAAGAAAAGAAGAGCTCCGGGCGAGAATGGCTAAAATGAGTGGTGGCATGGGCTTTCATGGCATGTTTGGAGCTCCAATGCCTCCTGTTGGCGGCCTGCCCAAACGAAGCAAGCCTGAGAAGGCGCCCAAGGAAGATATAGAGAGTCATGCAGATGACGCGCATCGCTCCGCGCCCCCAGTACCAGCTCCCACGGCGCTGCCCGGCCTGGGAGGACTAAGCAAATCGCAGGAGCGCGAGCATGAACACGAAGACGATCGTAAGCCGGCCGCCAGCTTGCCGTCTCCTCCACCTGTCCCTAGCAGAGTGCCGACAATTCCCGAGCCAGATGATGCTGATGGTGAGCAAGGCGAGAGCGACGACAATGCTACCCCAGGTCCTGCCTCTCGCTCAGAGGCATCACGCGCTCCCCCGGTTTCTGGCAATCGCCCTGCACCGCCGCCCGTGCCTTCAGAGCGTGAGCAACCTTATCGTCAAAGGCCGCAGTTCTCTACTAACCTTTCTCTAGCACCACGCCCACCCGTCGCAACCCCTACACCGGCAATCAAATCTGCAACCGAGGGCTCTGAATCGGACGACGAGCTCTCTGGTGGAAAGGAACATGCCGATGCTGGATTAGCGCAATCTCCGCGACTTCCGGTGCGATCACCGCCGTTGTCCCCACGCTTCGAAGAGCCTCCATCTGCGAACAAGCGAAACAGCCGACCGCCGCCCCCCATCCCAAGCGTCGCATCGTTGTTGCCCCCTGCTGCAGGCCGACCGCCTCCACCCCCACCCCCGGGTGGTTTAAGTCGTCAGTCGACTGCTGATGTCCCGCCAATTACACCATCTAGACCTGTACCGGCAGGAGACGAGCCTGGTGAGGAAAGCACAGAATACGAGGGCGATTATGACACGGATATTGCATCTTCAGTCCCCCACAAGGACGCATTGAAGGCCCATGCTCGCGACTCCAGTGTGGATGATAGCTTACTTCAGTCACCCACAACCGAAGTCCCCCAGAGCCGCCCTCCCCCTGTTCCGCCGACTTCACCACCGCGCGCTCTTCCACCACCGGTACCCGCTATTGCTCCGCCAGAGAACAAGCGACGATCGGTTGATGCACCTCGCGCGGCTCCGCCGCCGCCGCCGCCTCCGGCTACAGCCCCGTCCTCAGATGACTACGATCCTTTCAATTATACGTCCCCTACTATAGCTGGAGGTTCAAGTAGGACGCCGAAGATTGAAGAGGAAGCTTATTCCGCAGATGTTGCCTCTTCACCCGTTGCAACACCTACTGCTGAGCGACACCTTCCACTACCAATTGGTGCGAGGACTGGCGGCCGGCAGTCCATGGAAGGTACCCGCACAAGTACCAGCAACAGACGCTCCATGGATCTTCACAGACAGTCTCTAGAATCTGGATTCATCGCCAATGACGTTGATTTGAGTATCCAAAGTGGCTGGTGGAAGCAAGCCAATCAACTACCGCCCGTGCTACAGGGCCGACGTGACATCTTTTTCGAATCAGAGGAAACTACAACCAATAACCAAGGGTCCAAGACGGTCGTGACACGTGAAATATTCATTCTGTACCAGGATTACTCCCAGACTGTCCTTACTGTCCGATTCAATCCTTATGATCCTGCCGACGTGGAGCTAGATCAGAAGCACGAAGGCCCTCCCCGCACACTGCGCCAGGACGAGATGGAAGATTTCCACGATCGATTCGGTCGACAAATTGTTGAAGCCGCAGCCACGAAGAAAGACAGCGTCGTCGGCGACGGCTCACCGCAAGGCCTGGTTCTCGAGCTGCTCCGTCCCTTGAAGGGTGCTCTGTGGCCAGTGGGCTCCCGTGCGTACGGCGCCCTCGTATACTCCAACATGGCCAATGCCTCGACGCAGCAGCACGATATTATCCGCCCTGGAGACATTGTGTCTTTCCGCAACAGCAAATTTCAGGGCAAGCATGGCGCCATGCATGCCAAGTACAGCGCCGAGGTAGGCAAGCCGGACCATGTGGCCATTGTGGCTGAGTGGGATGGCACCAAGAAGAAGCTGCGCGCCTGGGAGCAGGGCCGCGAGAACAAAAAGGTCAAGTTGGAGAGCTACAAGCTGGACGACCTGCGCAGCGGCGAGGTCAAGGTATGGCGTGTCGTGGCGCGCAACTGGGTGGGGTGGAACAGCCAGCCTTAGTGGTGCTGGATGGAAGGACAGGCGAGCAACACAGAGAGGCCACCATATTTGCAAGTTTTGTTGTAATGAAATTCACAATATCTGTTTTCGAATGCCACTTCTGCTCGTGCGTGTTGAACCGGCTGCATCTGGTCTATATCGTGGGTCTGAAGAAGTAGGAAGCATTATCATAGCGCATTCAATGAGAATAGCCTATTTACTCTGTCGTTATAAATATGCTGCATCATGATGCTCCGCATCGGCCTTTTCTACATCGCAAATAGTTGGCATCATACATGATGAGACGGGGGGCATTTCTCTATACAGCCCGATCCCTGCAACCTCTCCCGTACCCTAGCTGCCAAACTTGAGCTGCATCAGCAACCTGTTCAGCCCGCCCACTCTCTCCGGGCGGTACGCCTCTCCCGGCGCCGCGCCGCCGCCATCGTCGTCCATCTGCGCCGCCGCCACGGCGGCCTCTCCCTCCCACACCTGCAAAAAGGCCTCGTCGACGCTCAGCCGCTCCAGCGCGGCCACGACGTCGTCAATGGCCCGGCGGACGCTGCGCTCCACGCCGCGCAGCTGCCGCGTGACCTGGGCCTCCTCGGCGGCGAGGTCGGTGAAGGCGTCGACGACGCCGGCGTCGGTTTCTAGGTCGAGCGCGGTGAAGATGCCGTGGAGGCGGTGCACGTGCGCGACGAGGTGGTCAATGTGCACGAGAAGCGTGTAGAGGGGCCGCGTGAAGGCGTCTTGGGTGAGGAGGAGTCGGTGCACGAGCGTGTCGAGGTAGACGGCGTGGCCGGCGGCGAGGGTCTGCTGGTCGTGGCGGGCGCTGCGGGGAGCGGCGGCGGCGGAGAAGGAGGAGCTCGTGGTGGGACGGGTCGGGGGCACAGAGATCGGCTCAGCGTCTACATGGTCGTCGTCGTCGTCGTCGCTAATGTCCATTTTGTCGGCCGGCGGAGCGGTGTCGTCTTGAACGTCATGTCGGGGAACGACCTCGCCGGTGAGCCAGGCGCGGAAGCCGCGCCACAGCCCCGCGACGACCTCGGTCTGGAAGTAGGCCTCTGTCTCGCCGAGGAAAAAGACGGCGGCGCTGGCCGTCGACCAGGTGCCGCGGAGAGCCTGCGCGCGGGCGGACCAGCGCCGGCGTAGCTCCTGCGCGTACTCGCCAGCGCCGCGCGGGCCCGGGTAGTGGCGGCGCAGCGACGTCAGCTTCCAGAGGTCGGTGAGGCGGACGTGGGCGCGACGCAGCGCCACGAGGTACGCGTGGACGCAGCCGTAGAGCTGCATGTCGGACGGGGCGAGCATCATGTCGACGGCGGGCGGCAGCCGCATGGCGAGCGTGACAGGGGCCGAGAAGAGCAGCGCGTTGAAGGGCGCGTCGGCGAGGCGTGCGACGGCAGCGGCGCTTAGACCGGGACGGGTGTGCTGCGCGGGGGCTTCTGGCTTGGACTTTATGAGTTGGAGACGGAGGGAATCGCGCGCGCGGTCGAGCAGCGCATCGTCGTTGTCTTGCTGCTGCTGCTGCTGCTGGTCATACGAGGATATGGACGCCCAGACGCGGGCCAGCGCCGCGGACACCTCGCCGCTCTTGACCGTCACGTTTTGGACGCCGCTGCCGTCCTTGTCGTGCGCGAGATTGCCGGCGCGGCGCCAGCGACCGCGGATGCGCTCGTCGGCCTCTTGTGTAAGGGCCATGGCGAACTCGCCCCGACCGAGGAGGAAAAATTCGCGGAGCAGCTGCATGGTCGCCATGACTTCTGAAAGCGGCAGGATCTGCTCGAGAATGTCTTGTGATAGCGACTGCCGGATGTCGCGTATAGTGCCGGTGAAGCTCGCCGAGTTGAGCGGCGAGGTCAAGTCGGCAATGGCCTGCAGCTTGGCCGCCGTGTTATGGAAGCCGCCGCTCGCCGTTGACAGCGTCGTGCTCCTGGCGCGAATCTGGTTCAGCGAGCGGCCAATGAAGAGCATCGAGCCGGCCGTCGCGGGCGTCACAAACGCCGGGAGCAAGCCCGCGACGCTCACATAGTCCTCGTCCGAGCTCTCACCAGGGCGCACGAAAAAGTCCTCGCCGCCGCCGGCGCTCGGCAGCCTGCCGTAAAAGATCCACGCCGAGACCTGCCGGAGCCAGGCCGTCTCGGCCGCGGTGACGAGCGTCAGCGCCGCCTCCTCGACGTCGCGGTAGCCGCTCTGCAGCTCGGCGCGCAGGCGGTCAATGGCGCGGGCGCCCCAGCACAGGCGGCCGCTCGCGTCCTGCGCCTCGAGGAACCGCACCACCTCCCAGAGCCACTCGAGGCGGCGCGTCCATGGCTGAAAGGCCCCCATGACGGCCGTCAGCGGCACGATGCCGTACGCGCCCACAAGATCCGCGTCATGCCGTAGGATGCTCGCCTCAACCTCGAGCACCTTGCGCCGCAGCGCGGCCAGGTGCACCGACTGAATGGCCGTGGCAACGGCGCGGCAGACTGTCGAGGGGTGCGACGCGGTAATGCGCGAGCAGTGCTTGGCGAGTTTGATGTGTAAATCGGAGAGATGCGCTGCTGAGGCGAGGAGCTGCCGCTCTGGGGGAGAGAGGGCGATTGAGGAGGACGAGGTGTCGGAGAGCTCGGCGGTGAGCAGAGGCGAGGGGTGCCCGGAGAGGGAGAGGAGGATTTCGTGGAGCATACTGCGGTGATATCTATATAAGCGTTAGAGAATGCCTTTAGAACCTGATTAGGGCCGGCAACGCACATTACAGCAAGCTCTTAGATGAGCGAGAGGCTGTTTGGCGGGGCAAGATCAGGAACTGCGCCGACGCTGCAGGGGACGATGCGCAGCTGCGCGGCAAATTTCGGGGCGCATCAACAGTGCTATATCGCTTTTGTATTTTTTTTTTTCTGAATGTCGATTTGGATCGTGCACGTCGTGTATTGAATTGTGTGATTTAGTTGGCGAAGCTGTCCACAGAGGTGGTGAGTTGGAAGACGCGACGCGCAACCAATCTGCCCCGCGGGTACACGTGATGATTTACCAGAAATATCTCGACACAACTCCGACCCCGGTTCACTTCAGCTTGAAGAAAAGCATTTTCATTATAAAATGATTGCATCATTCCTCATACTATTTTGTGCTAGTGCATTATGATTGGTCTAGGCGCCTATAGCGCTCGAAAGTTTACGCGTGGAGCCTGACAGAAGCAGTCGGCTCAGATTATTTGGATGGCTTTTTGCCCTTGGAGTCACCGTAGGCAGCAGCAGCAGCAGCCGGCTTACTGGGACCGTTGGCCCCCGATAGCGAAGCATCGCCATTGCCGCCGACATAGACCTTGCCGCCATCCTTGACGTGACCGACCAGCATACCCTGGGCAACGCTCTTGAGGATAGCGCGTCTCGAAACACCGGTGACGTCAATGTAGACAAGACCGACATTCTTGAAGCCGCCTCCAATGTTCCTTGCAGCTTCGCCTGCATCGGGACCCCAGCGGTGGCCGACCATGGTGGAGACGCTGCTTGAGGTGCTGTTGAGCAGCGACTTGCCAGCGTGCTCGGCGCCGTCGACAATGGTGTTGAAGGCCATGAGGCTCTTATTGAGGATGCCGGGCTTGTAGCTGTCAATCATGTTGCCGTCCTTGTCATAGCCGCGGGCCTTGCCGTCCTTGCGGCGGATGTTGGAGGCGAGGTTCTGGGTGACCTTGCTGATGGAGCCGACGGTGGAGGCGGAGAGGCCGGCGGCTTTTGAGGAGAACTGGTTGATGCGGCGGATGCGCTCGTGCGTGGCGGGCGTAAAGGTGACGGGGTTGGCGACGGGCTCAGTCTTGTGCGTGAAGCTGTCGGCCTGGTTCTGCAGCATCTTGCCGACGTAGTCGGAAGTGGTGATGAGGAGCCGCGACGCGCGGGTGGCGCTGCTGACGAGAGTGGACTTTTTGTAGGCGGGGTGGACAGAGTCTTCGATGTAGTCGTACTCGACCGGCTCGACGGAAATGTTGTGGGATCCGTCCTGGGGGAGGGTAATTTCGACGGGGTCTGGGGCCATGTTAGTGATTTGCGGCAGCGGCATCCGTTGAGACGCGGAACGGGGATCATACCCTTGGTACCAGGACGTACACCACTGTCCTCGACAACCTTGAAGCCGTCGCTCAGCTCCCCAATTACGCTACCATCCTCCTCGTCGACCAGTACAATTCTGCCGCCGACTTGCGAGCTGGCGCTGCCCTGGACGTATGCTTCGCCCGCCTCGAAGCTAGCTGGGTTGTAGGGCGGCGGCGCGTCGCCCGCCGCTTCTCTCGCCTTGGCCTCGGCAGCCTTGGAGCGCGGGGGCCTCGGAGGCGGCGCGCGCTCAAGGAAAGCGGTGCACTGCGCCAGAATCGTCTCAAAGGTGTCAACGTCCTCCTGAACCCCCGCGCGACTGTTGGCGGCGGGGAACTCGAGGCGCGTAAAGGCGCCGCTGCCAGGGCCAAGGTCCCACCGGGGGATCAGGTAGCTGCTGGGCGGCTGGTGGTAGATTTGCGTCGTCGCGGGCATGGGGAGGTCAAGCTCGGGCGGGAGATGCAAGTGCAGGTAAAAGTCCTCCTCGCCGTTGCCGCGCGCGAGGCCAGAAGGGTCGGCGAAGCCAGACGAGGTCGGGACCATGAGGAGCGACAGCGTTTGCGGGCCCGAGGGCGTGAGGGACTGCTCGTCGCCATTGGCAATGTGGTAAGCCTTGACGCCATTTACGGCGTAGAGGAGCTTCGGATCCTAGATGGCAGGTATCGTCGCAAAGGATTAGGAGCTGGACTAGGTTGAGATGAGTATAATCATCACGGGACGCTACTTACATTATGCCCAGAGGCCATGGTGAAAGTGGCGCAACTGCGATGAACCGTCGAATCAGGACAAGACTTGTGTGCAAGAGCAAAATGCACGGTACGCTGTAGCTATGTCAAAAAACAAAATAAGAGAAAAGCAGGAGCAACAAGCTTCAAAGGTGGAATGATGAGTGAATTCGGATTGGTCTAGCAAGCGCCGGCCCCAGCATGTGTGAGGCCTCTTTGGAAGCAACGGCAACGTCATTCATTGGTGGTGGGCAGTGGGCTGCCTCTGCCAGCCAAAGTCCACTGAATGAGGGGTCGAGGGCGGAGGGGTCATCTGCCATATGCCCAGCAAAAAAAAAGGGCAAGAGACTACTATGGATAAAAATGAAACATGTCCGACGATTAGCCACAGTAGAGCTTCTGACAGGTCTTTTTATCTTTATTTTTAGATGACAAGCAGGTCATCATCTGCTTTGTCCACTCACGCCACTGTAACCGCTGTCTTGCAGCTGGCTTTAAAGTATGGGGCTCTTCTTTGCCCCC